GAATGCCCCAATGAGGGGCTGGGGTGTGGCTCAGTGGTAGAGCCCCTGCCTAGAATGCCCCAATGAGGGGCTGGGGTGTGGCTCAGTGGTAGAGCACCTGCCTAGAATCCCACAGTGAGGGGCTGGGGTGTGGCTCAGTGGTAGAGCACCTGCCTAGAATCCCACAGTGAGGGGCTGGGGTGTGGCTCAGTGGTAGAGTGCTCTCCTAGCATGCCAGAGTCCCTAAGCTCCAGGCCTGATGATACAGTTTCTGACCCCTTATATTAGCCATGGTGTTGGATTTGCTGGGTTCTCTGAATCTTCCTTCCCACGCCCCATTGCTCTTATGCACCCACATTTTTAAATAGGACTAGACAGGATGAGTGTTAAATAAGAAAAGTCTCATCCCAGCCCCTCTGATGTAGGGATAAGCTGGGACCCACCTGAGTATTCCATCATACTGAGTGTGACGGAAATTTCCTATGGTAGGGCCTTTCTCTTGTACTTGAGCCTGGACTTCCTTTTCCATCCCCTCCACATCCCCTCCTCCAGCTCTGACCCCTCTGAGGGTCAGTTCCCTCGTTGTCAGCAGAGCCCCATGCTCAGCACTGAGCCAGTGCTCCATCAGAGCACGTGTGCTGTTGGACTGATCACCACTGTCAGAGAAAGGAACATGTAGGTGGGACATGAAGCCAGCTGCAGGAACGCTCATGTGGTGTGGCTTCTTAGACATGGAGGTCAGGAGAAGGCCAAGTAGAAGCATGTGTCTCGAAGGCAATGCTGTGGTTGCATCTTGGGGGAGAGGAGCAGAGAGGGATGGTGTGAGAGTCAGCCTTATGGATGCTGTGTGGACTCCACACCTGCACAGAAGTGATGGTTACACGAGATGAGAACACACACTTCACACTGATGCTCTTTATTGTCCTCGATTTTGGAAAGTCTCATAATGACCAGTAAGACCATTTCTCAGCATAACTAGAAACCAGCTTTACACCTGCGGCCTTCCACCCCCACCCCGAGTCCCCACCTTGCAGCGGTTCTCAAAGCTGTGGCTGAGCCAGAGAGCACAGTGGGGGAGGTGGAGGTAACTCAGTTGGTAAAGTCCTAGCTGTAAACATGACGACCAGAGTTAGATTCCCAGCCTCACATAAAGAGAGCTGGGCTTGGTGCTACTTGCTAGTAATCCCAGAGTTGGAGGGGTGGGGATGGGTGGATCACTGGGGCTCTCTGTTTTCTGGAAAGGTCTGTCCCTGATGGGGATCTGTTAATCTGATAATGAAGATCACAGCCATGCTGGTCCCCTGGGGCAAAAGTAGCACTCCAGGGATCCCTCCCAGGCATCAGCACCACCAGAGGGGCTAATGAGATGGAGCGCCTAAATCACCTAGACATTAGCAATCCATCCCTGCAAGGAAAGAGTTTATTCTTTTTCTTTTCTGTATAAATTCACTTCTAACAAGTGTTCGTAAATCAGATTTTATTCCCCTGGGATTTGCAGTGTATGAATGGCATGTCATTTTAGTGAGTTAATGCAGTTACAGAAGAGCATAAAGTCTCTCTCTCCTCTTCCATCTGGAAAACAGACTAGAAAAAGACACATCAGACCTGCAGCTTCCAATACCCAGGCTCCCCCTAGGGTATTAATTTAACATCATAATTGAAGCCTGAAGGTGGGGCTTGTTTCCCCGAAGGTGACTTGTGTGTGTGTGTTGGGGGGTGGCGGGGGTTGAACCTTTTCATGTCCTTAGTTGTTGCCTAGCAGGAGCCTAATGGCCCCTCTCATTTTGTCCTCATCAGCCCAACACCCATCAAGTCACATCCCTGAGCAGAGGCAAACCTAACATCTACCACACTGGTCCTATGGGCTGGTGTCTCAGCATCCAGCCACATGGAAGGTACAGGGTGCCCATCGCAGGGAATCCTCTCAGGGTGAACACATACCTTACCATGTCCCTTACCATGATACTCTCTGAGGGGTAGCAGGAGAGTGGGGAACATGTCAGATAAAATCCTCACCTTTCAAAGAATCTCTCAGCCAACATTGGAAGGTAGAAGACAGTCTAATCTGAGCACCAAGTAAATGTGCTAGTGCAAACTTCCAGGGTGGGGTCTGGGGAGATGCTTTAGTGAGCAAGAGTGCTTGCTGTACAAACATAAAGATCTGAGTTCAAATCCCCAACACCCATGTAAAATCTAGGGCATGGCAGTACCCGTGTCTATAACCCCAGTGCTATGTGGGGTTTAATCTAATCTAGAAAACCTTCCACAGACACAACCAGAGGTTTATCTCTTGGGTGATGCTGAATTCCAATACATTGTCAAGCAAGATTGATCATCACATAGGGCTAGAGAGATGACTCAGCAGGTAAAGGCACCTGCTGCCAAGCCTGAAGACCTGAGTTCAATTCCCAGGACCTGACTCAACTCCTGAAAGTTGTCCTCTGACCTCTGCCCAGGTGTTATAGCATGCACACCCACAGAAACCCACAGAAACACACCAGATAGGTAGGTAGGTGATAGATAGATAGATAGATAGATAGATAGATAGATAGATAGATGACAGGTAGATAGATAGATAGATAGATAGATAGATAGATAGAAATAATTTTTAAATTATTATATTATATTATATAGATTAGATTAGAAATAATTTTCTCACAGTTACACACTTGTAGATTAATTTAAAAGCCAGTGGTTAATGCAAAGACACATCTTTGTCACTTAAAGGAAACCCTTTCTTTACCTATCTTACCCATACAAGCATGTTTTTTACTTTCAATTTCGTTACATGGGTTGTGAGTTTTTTAATTATGTGACTTGTGAAACATCTGACTTCCCTGACTTTTAATAAGGGTATGCATTCTGAGCATATTTTCATAAAACATTGGCAAGGATATTGGCATTTTGGCATCGGGCAAGATAAACACTGAAACATTAATATCACTATTCTGCTCCAGCGTTATGGCGCGTGCATAGCTTTGCTCCAACTGTCTCTCTATATGAGGCTGATGCCCAGTGGTTTTAGGGGTCACATTGGACAGAGCAAAGGAGCTGGTGGTGCTGACTGACCCACCCCTGTGTCACTTCAGGGGACACATTACTAAGACTATGCCGCTTTCCCTAGGTAAGGGCATCTCCAACATGGAAGAGTCAGTGACCCTGGATAACGGAGGGTTTGCCGCCTTGGAGCTCAACAGCCGTCACCTCAACGTCAAAAGCACCTTCTCGAAAAAGAATGGAACCAGGTAGGAGGCTGTGCTGAAGGCTGAACATCTGGGACGTGTCCCCCATCCACAGGCACCCAGCAAGCGAATTCCATAAAAAGCAATGTGTGTCTGTGACTCCTGCACTCCTATGGGATGGGAGACAGGAGAATCCCTGGATGCTCAGGGACCAGCTAGCCTGCTGTACACAGCAGCAAACAGAGTCCCCATCTCAAACAAGGTAGAAGGCAAGGACCAACACCGGAAGTTGTCCTCTGACCTCCACGTAGGTGCCCTCACATGGGCACAAGTTCATTCACACACGTACTCACATGCATGCATACCGTCACACACACAAGCATGGGGATTTCCAGTGTTGAGGGTTCTTCTCACAGAGCCAGGTTCCATATGCCTCTGCTTTTCAGTGAAGAGTTGGGGGCTCGCACACACGCTGTCAGGGACACGGCAGGCCGAAGGCCTCAGTTGCTCTATTGTCTGCCACGCTTACAGTGACAAACTCATCGAGCCTCACGATGCTTTTGGCCTCTGCCACTCAGGAGGCTGGAATTGTTTGAAAGGCACTGAGGCCCGGAGCTGACTGAGCTGACCTCCATCTTCAGAGGAAGAGGGTCCCGGCTGCTCTTGCACACAGGCTACCTTCCTTAGGGCAGGAAGTGGAAGCTAGAGGCACTTCCCGAGAGACAAGGTTTTCCTGCTGAGTCAGAGAAACGTGAAAAGATGGTCCTGGAATGTGAAGACGAAGAGGACTCGTCCCAGGGGACTTTTAAATGGCACTGCTGTGTTCCACCCTCTGCTGCAGGTCCCTTTCCACTTCTGCAGAGCTTGTGGCCTTGAAGCCCAGACCAAGGATAAACAGTCCTCCAGGTTGTTAACCGAACAACTATGTAAACAGAGTCCTATGTAAACAGGAAATGATTTTGTGATCAAGTTGGAAGGTCCTGGCCCACAAAGGAATGTCCCCATGGAGTCCTCCACTAAGAGAAACATGGTCATCTGATATCAGCAAAACAGGGATTTGAGGCTCCAAGGGGAGCTGTTACAAAAGTGGGGTAGGATGTGCAGGTGTTGGATAAGAAGGTCTTTCCAGCAGGGCCCGCTGAAGCAGACCTGTCATCCCAGGTCCTCAGGAGGCTCAGGCAAGCTTAAGGCCTGCCTGGGCTATGGAGCTAGTTCAAATCCAGCCTGGGGAATAGAGCGAGACCCTGTCTCAAAATAAAGAAAGGGCTGAGGATGTAGCTCAGCAGTTGAGCACCTGCCTAGAATCCCCCAGTGAGGGGCTGGGGTGTGGCTCAGTGG